TTTTTGTAGTTACTAAACTCTGCAAAAATAAAACAAATGCATTATTTGCTATGTTTCCCAGTACAGCCTCCGCACCCCCAGAGCAGACGCTGCAGTGCTTTTCAGCTGGGACAGCTCTGAGATGCCCACAGATGTTCATTTCAGCAGTATGTCACTCCAGCAGTAACGTGCCTAGAATGACAGGAGCACGATGCACTAATGCAATTACACTAAATTACATCCATACAATTTCTTTCATCTCACATATTCCTAAAGCAAATGACAAGCTGAATGGATAGTGGCCTTTCACTATCCACACGTCATTCTTTGCATAGAACAGGTTAACTACATGACATGAGGTGATTGCTTTTCCTCAACCTTGGATAACCTTGGATATCCATATCATTGGCTTCCAGGGAAAACCATCATGAGCACATATAAAGGCAGCAAATCAGATTTATTTAAATTTAAAAAGATATTCACAACTACTTACTATATTCTATTATTCTGTTGAACATTATTTCCTTCAGCACTCAAAGAATAATAAGAGAGGCAATACAGAACAATCATAGATGACCTACAGCTCCTCAACATGGAGATGTAACTTCAGGTGTTGGAGGGGTTAAGGGTAAAAATGGAAAAAATAAAACAAGAGAAGAGCATTCTATTACAGAATCCAGTAGAAGCCAATGAGACTTGAGTGAATTGAAATACTCGAGTCACAGGGTTTAAAACTGCTTTTAGTAGAAACCTGATAATCTGAAAGGGATATTTTTCCTTATGTTTTAATAATTCCCCAGGCCCTTTCCCTGCCAAGTTGGATGGCAGCTGGAAAATCACTAACAGTATTTAACTTAACAAAGTAAAAATGACCAGACAGATGTTTTTGCAATGTCTAACGCAGAGCTTGCAAGCAAAATGTTTGTTGGAGGCTGGTTGTAAATAAAGTTACATGATCCTGGTGCATTTCAGCCAGTGCACATGTTCTGGCTCTGTAGTGCCTTCAATCTCACTGCTAAAGGGGCTCCAAAATTCACTGGCGTTTGAGTGCAGCTAAGCAGACCAGAGCCATAAATCATGTAATGCTCAAACTTTATCCTTGAAATTTCAGAGAACAAAAGGAATCATGTTCTCATAGCCTCTTAGAAAACAAAGCACACTTTTAAAGATTGCATCCTTACGTGATGCACATACGAAAGTTCAAACTAATGGCAAGAGTCCACAGGCATTAAGGGAAATAACAGCAATCAATGCTATTTTTAAAGGGAAGAGTGGGGGCGAGGGGTTAACATATGTGGAATTAGCTCTAGGCAAAATGAGAAGCCATTGCATCTAAAATCAAATGCATTCTCTGAAACAGACACCAGAGCCCAAATTCCCTTGTAGACTCCTGCAGTCCAAGAGTTTCAGCAGAACTTGGCCTTCCTCTTAACTTAGCTTCATTAGGTCATATCATGCCATCAATTTTTATGTTGGACGCCCTCCTTACTGCACATCAGTTGTTGGCACTATGTGGGCAATTTTCCGATTTGGAGGGGGAGAAAAGGGTGGTGTGTGCACAAGGGCGAGGAATTTTCTTCCCATGTAGAATAAGTCATTTCTTAGAACAGTTTGAGGGGCAGCGATATTTGTATCCCTTCTGCCAGATGTCACCAGGGGCAACAAGAGCCGGGATTAAATATCTATCAAATTCTTCCTGAAATTTGTCACGCCAGGTGGTCAATAACCCATTCAGAAAACTGAGAAAACCAACCGCCTCCCACTGCCATCCTCAGCCAAAGGTTCCTCCTCTCGTAAGAACCATCTCTGCAGCTGAAACGTCTTGATAGAGGACAAGAACAGATTCTTTTAAAAAAACCTTGTGGCAATAATTTCTGCTGTTTACATGCAGTAGGTGAAACGATGCCCCTCCTGCACACGCTTTTGCCATAGTCTTGTGTCTGTTTGCCACCAGCTGCTGTCTGTGCTGGACGGCCTGAGGTCTCACAGAAACCCCCTGTGCCCCTCCCTGCCTCACACAGCGAATGTTGGTGGCTGTCCTCAGAGCTGGGTTAGGTTTGCCTTTCATCTTAGAGGGAAAAGCTTCTGCAAAAGAAAGATGCCTTGATAGTCTCTCTAACATTAAGACAGCCTGCACTGTCACACCTTTCTGTGCCACCACCTCAAGCTGTGACACCTTGCCCTGCCATCCCTCGCCCCGGCCGCAGTGCCACCTCGTGCTGCCATCCACACACACACGGCTTGCTGCCCTTCACTCCTCTGCCTGAGCCCCCGGATGAGATGTGAGCCCGACTCCTCACCCAGTTACTCTATGCAGTCCACAAAACAAGACTGACATGACCAACTCGCTCTGTGCAAGCACAAAGGAACACTTGGAAACAGCACTAAAAAAAAAGAAAAAACCACAACAAAAAAGACACCTAAAAAAGTCAGTTGCCTAAGGGAGATCAGAAGGTAGGTTACAAAACTGCAGAGACACTCCTCACACATTGCTCCCTGCTACTATCAGCATTTCTCTCTCTATTCTAGAAGAGAAGATCTGTCACGCAGAGCTCAGCAGCTTTTGTCTCAGAGACAGCTGGGTAGATCACAGCCCCCTTGCTTCATACAGACACGACCAAACAGGATGTCAGAACCTCACAGGATTCTAAGATTTTCCCTGGAAACATACCAGACAAAGTACCCTCCCCCAGCCAACTGTTCCCATGGATTGACATAATATTATTTTACCTCCTGTAGCAACAAATTCACTGCGGGGTTTTTTTCAAGACAACAACAAACCAGGCATTCTGAAGACAATCCGACTATTAGTTTTTCCCTATGTGGTTTGCTACACAACAATATTTGAACAGCACGTTTTTAATTTTTTTTGTTTGTTTGTTTAGCACACCAGAGATTGAACTTTATCACATGTTGTGTCTGCAGATAAGATAACAAGCCATCATCACATCGAAACATTCATTAAAGGCATCTCTCCCGAAGCCACCCTGCTTCACTTCATCTGGCTCCTCAGACCAAGCGTATCAGACAGGTTTTTGCCTTCTGTCCTGCATCATATGCAGAAGTTGGTATTTTCTGCTTAAATCAGAAGAAATTTAATACGACTCCGTCCTTTTTGTGTATCTGGCCACTTATCTTGTTTCGTTTGCAAATATCATATGTATTCTCTTGAGATAAAAATAGTGCAAGATGATTAGTTCGGCAAGTTCATTTGACACCATTCCCCCTTCGTGACGCTGAAATCTAAAATCTGTATATGGTATACAACTTAAAGTATATATATGCAAGCTCAGCTCTGGTGGAGACACACAGCAAGTGCTCTCCTCCCAGCCAGACTGCTTCCTTATCCAGTCAAGAAGACCACAAAGGTAAGCTGATTAGATCCTCTGCTTTCAAAAAATTAAACAAAAATGCTCCCAAAATGGAAAGCACTGATTTAATTAAAATATATATTCTAATATCAACTTCCATTATGCCATACCTTCACAAAATTTCATAGAACAGAATCGCCATTCAGATGGGAAAAGACAGAACGGTGCCCTTCACAGAAATTAAGACCATGCTGCACTTTTCAGATATATTTTTTTTAAACTTTTCCCCATGTTTTTAATGCTGTCAGTGCAGAGAGGTGAATGGCAGAGCTCCAAATCACCTTGCCCAGTGCTGAGAGGAGCAATGCCCTGCACAAGAAGCCATTGGGACAAAACAAGCGCTAGCAAAACAGAAGTAACTGAGCTGCCTTAGCTGGAAAAACGCTCGTTGCCACCACGTGGATTTGTCCCACTGTCTCCTTACATCTTATGAGATATTCAGAGACTGACAACGGGGGGAGGCACCATTTCATATTTTGGAGAAAGTTTCTACCGATCTGTAGATCCCAAATCAAAGTACCTCGTAAATGGTTACCAGCACTTGGTCTTCTTCTCACTGGCACTACTTTCCATACTCACAGCACATTGCTGAAGATTTGGGTTGGGATTCATGTTAAGGGATTTCTGGTGCTTTTCAAGAATAACTTTTCTATGTCTCAATTCCTCTTTCTTAATTAATTGATTAATACATCAAGTTACCACACAGTAATGCTGCAAGTCTTAAATTGCAACCAGTCTGCACTGGTGTGTGCTGTGAAACTGGAAGTGCATCAGTGCTGCATTTACACTACAAGGGCTGACCAGCAATTTGGGCCTTGCAGCATTCACTTAAGCAATATATACTGCTTTGGCAAACAAACTAGTGCAGCTGTTGGTGGCTGACAGAAACAAAGAGTATCTCCTGTCAGATGCTGCTGTATCAGAAGAAAATGCCTCCATGTTTTTATTAGGAATGAGTATTAAGCCTCAATAGCTCTGCTCAAAGCACATCAGCACTCTGAACTGCTGAAACTGGGATACAAATCTGGCTTATCACCCATCATCACCAACTCAAAACAAAACAAATGACAAAATCATAGCATAATTTGGAACCTTTTTTAAAAAGCCACCATGAAAAGTGGTCTTTTAATGCTGTAGTGCCCCAGCAGACCAAATTTACAGCACTGTTACATTTATTGGGTACAGCAAAGCAGAAGAAATAATTCTTCAGATTTAGATTTCCTTGAAACAAGTGAAATTATTCTTATTTATTTACGCCATTACTTTCATTCCTGTTAAGATCACTACATTTATTGATAATAACACCAGGGTTTTTTTTATTCTAATTAAATTTATTCCAGATATAGCTCTAGAGGACGTACATGGCCCTATCTTTTTATGTGTGCCATAAATATATGCTGATTTTAATTGAGTAGTAACCTACCTCTGGGAAAACCCACACCGAATTCGTGAAGTTTTGTGGTTCCATACACCTTTGATTTGCTCCCCCAGCACAACGCAGCCATCAGATCTTCCTGAAGCCCCACATTCCCACACGCAGAATTCCTCCCTCATTACCCAGCTTTAAGTGGAAGCACCTGCTGCAGACATCTGCTTCAGTATGCTCCCCTTACAATTAGATGAATAATGTCTCCCCTATCACATGCTGTCACTGCAGCAACTTCAAATAGAGCCATGAAAAGATAGAGAAGTCATTTTAATGACTAAGTAGCTCACATTTAATTTATTTTACAGTTCAACAATGGCCATCACTGACATCCTTTCTGCTAAAGATATTGAATCTGCTCTCTCCAGCTGCCAGGGTAAGGAATGGTCTCTCTCCAGCCAGAAGATGCATATCATTTTTATGTCTTAAGATGGCGTGCCTATCATTTTCCCCTTAGATTCCTTCCCGGTGAGATCTCTTTGTAGCTATGTTACAGTACAGCTTCTTGAATTCAGAAAGTCTTACAAGCAGCTACTTTGTGGGTAACATTACCTGAAACAGAGCAGCAGTAAGACTCACAGTTTCAGATAGCACAGAGCTGGCTCTCCATTCCCAAACCTGCTGAAGGCATGGATTTCAGTGGTTAGCCTTGTCCTGCAGAATGCCAGAACGAGCTGCAGCTCCCAGAATGCCCCCATTACTTGTGAAGCAATGAGCAGTCTTGCTTCTCTCAGAATTCCCCCCAGCAGGATCATGCCAGCTCCCCAGCGCCCCGTGGGCAACTTCAAGGCTGAACACTGCTTTATTTTCTACCAAATTCTTCACCAAAGTAAGGACTAAGTGAACATAAAACAAGAATTACAGGAGTTGTTAGTAGGGCACAGCAGCACCCTCCAAATACTTATAGTTAATTGCATGTGACACGGCTAGCTAGAGCCCTGATTTAGCACGGTGTGCGCTGTAGCAGAAAATTCCAAACTGGATGGTAGGACATCCGAGCAGAGGCACAGAGTGACTGAGCAGGGAAAGTATCCACAGAATCATCTCAGCTGCGTTGGGAAACGGGAGAAAAAGGAGCAGGCTGATGTTCACAACCAGGCGTACGCGCTCCTAAGGAATACGTGTGGTAGCAGCAACTTGAGAGGAAAGCATGTAAGAGGTTTTTGTCTCTTCCAGCTGCGGATTCCTTCAATTACAAGTCTTTCTTCTCCACGGTTGGCTTATCCAGCAAAACTCCTGATCAGATAAAGAAAGTTTTTGGAATCCTTGATCAGGACAAGAGCGGCTTCATTGAAGAAGAAGAGCTTCAGTAAGTATTGCTCAGCTGCTGCATTTCTTTGAACAGTGGAAACCTTTGAACATCCGCGGTGTCCCAGAAAAAAAACTTGAAGTTATTTTTAAAACGCAATGCAATGCTTTGCCTTTCCTTGAATTTGTCTGGATCTCACCAGATGTTACAAACAAGAGTTACTTTTTCTCTTGGCGTGGGTTAAAGTTAGAAAACCAGAGATGTAATATGCCGAGGTCACTGCAGAAAAGCAGACTCAAGCACAGCACTTTGCCCTGCTCAATTCCAGGCTGTTTCTGAAAAACTTCTCTTCGAGTGCCAGAGTCCTCACCACTGCGGAGACCAAGGCTTTCCTGGCTGCGGGTGACACTGATGGTGATGGCAAAATTGGAGTAGAAGGTAAGGCTGCTGGAAACTTCATCAAAGTCAGCTTTGAAATGCAGACATCTGGTTACACCTAAATGGCCCGATGTAGGGCACACCCCGTCATTTAGCCCAGTTCTTCCTGTCACGTTTTTCATACTGAAAAATACTCCTTTTTTTCATAGCCTTATTTCTATGTAGTCTCTGTTGTAGCAAAAGCAGATTTAGGCCCAATGCAGACCCCATTCTCTCAGCTCATAACAGCAGCGTTGGGGTTAATTTCTGCATGTACCTGATCCATAGGCTCAGAGTTCTGCATTTTCAGAACGTTCTGAATGCTTACTCACTCTGAATTTTCATTTTGGCAGAGGATGCTCTGCGCTTTTGGTCATGGGACACTTTCACTTTTAAACAATTTCCACCTACATGAACTTAATTATTGACCCCTCTCAGCACTACTGAGGAGGTAACCCTGTAACATAAAGCAGGGCCAGTATTGCTTCTAAGGGCCAGAGCTGCTGTATGGCAGCACGGAGTGAGCTGAAGCATTGTCTGATGTTGGCAGATTTCACTGGACAGTCCTTCTATGAGAAACTACATCAAATTCCTTCAGAAACTCTCACAGGATTGATGTGAACTGGCCAGGGTATTTCTTCTGGAAATTGCAGCAGAAGAAAATAGGACATTATGCATCATGTATTAGAGATGAAGTCACTGAAAACAGGGCTGTCTCAGCCGAACTAGGACAGGTGGCAATAACTCCAACAGACACACGTGCTAATCTTAGCCGAGTTTGGGAGGAGAGAGATACACTGTTGGAGGAATTTGCTTTAGCAGCAGCTTTTGCAGCTTCTGTTTATGAGCCCCGAATAGGACATTATATTATGCCGGTCTTAGCTCTTAACTATTGAATTTCCCATTCTGGAATTACATCACTACTAATATTTTTTGCTTCTGAATAATGATTTTTAAAAACTACTGGAAATATATTGAAAGCTGCAGGTTTGAGCCAATTCACTCAGTTAGCTATTATCAGAGTTGTGAGGGGTTCAAGATGGTTTACCTTTAGCTCAGGATTTCCTACAAACATGAATTTACAGACACACTCCTCTCTGCACCAACTCTTTTGAAGGAGTGAAAAATCTGCTACGCCCCCAGAATCTCAGTTTAGCAGCAGCTCTGCAGTGTTATAATAGCACAAGGAGCCCTCCATAGCTAGGAGATTAGGACATTTTTATCTATCTTTTCTAAAGATGCTATAAGCACTGTCATCTCATTTTATTCCCTGCCTTTCTCATTTTCTTTCTTGACAGAATTCCAGTCTCTGGTGAAGGCATAAACAGCGTTAGACCAAAGGCAGCCTTGGACTGACTCTTCCAATTACCTCGTCCAACAAGCACTTCGCACTCTGCATGTGTTTGTACATTTTTATATTGTTTCAGGCATCAGCAATTCCCCATTCGTCAAGTTCACACAAAGCATTGCTGAGGAATCTCGCTACGTACAGATGTTTCCCTTGTAAAGAAGGCACTTTGTCATTTTCAGCTACTCATAATATTGAAATTGTGGCTAGAAGATGGGAGAAAAGAATGCTAGTTTTTTCAATTTTGTTCAGGCTTTCCATCCTCATGTTTAACATGCTGACCTGCCACACACAGTTTTAATGATTTTAAACAACATGATATCTCTTAAGACATAAGTATCCTGATTTTGTTGAGTTTTATTTCTGCTTAATTCTCTGATCCTTTAGGAAAAGTAATGCTAACAAGAGAGCTAAAAATAATTTATATTCAGTCCCAGATCTGAGACTCTGAGAAAAAAAATGTAAGAGAAGCTGACACATAGCAGAGAGCATTGAATAAATTTGTGGGTATTTTACAAAATGAAGTATTAGGTTGCAGCATCTATCATCAGAAAGTGTTTATGGCCTAAAATGTAACTCTCCTTCAAGAAGATTTATCTTTCATGAAACCTAAGGCAGCTGTGAGACAGAGGAGAAGGTTCTAATCCCATCTCTGACACCAGCCCAAGTCACAGCCCCCTGACAATGGGCCACGGGCCTGGAGGTTTTTCTGTTCATCAGAGCGTGTTGCTGATTATCTCTTAATAACTACTACACAATAATACTTCACCACATTTGTGAATTTTGGTGCTTCAGATGAAACACAGCCAGTCTTGCTGCTTGATTATCTTAAAGTGAAGCAGAACAAATTCAGTCTGTTTTATGTGGCTAAATAATGGCCATTATTCAGTGCTCTCATTTGTTACAATGAATGATCATCCACATAACCCATAACGTCAGCGATGTACTCAAGTATGAAAACCACCAAGAGCTAATCTTTCCTTTGATAAGGGTCCCATGGGGCTTAGTGCTACTGATGGCACTGTCTTCATTAATGGACAAGACAAGCAGTATTTATGGCGTAAGGCAGAGCTCAGCACTCTGTAGATGTTAGGTATTTCTGGCTGAGCGCGCTGCACATTTCCCCACTAACACTGAGTTGGGACTTTTCCCATCCACCACGACTTGGTTCCAGCTCAGTAGCCTGTCATTTTAATTCTCCCTGCTGAAACTGGGTGATAATAGAAACATAATTTGGCAGCTGTTTCGAAGAAGAGCAGAAACAAAGCCTTCTGGAGCTTTATGTAACACTCAGCGTTGGCATTTCCATGAATTGCGACGTGATTAAGTGAGGCGAGCACAGCTCACCCAGCCCAGGCATGTAGGAAAGCTGTGCATCAGATTTAAGGCTGTTAATGCAAAAGAGGAATTCCAGCAATCAGACTCACTGAAGCCTTGGCAGAATCATAATGAATATAAATTCTAATTCTATCCCCGAAGCCTTTGATGTTAAATCTGGGCTTAAATTATAGCTGCTGTTAATTACAGCACTGAAATATTTTGCATAATGATGACACTCTGTTGGTTCCTTTTCCTCATTTTTCTGAACGCTGAAGAAAAAAATGCAGAGCAATCCAGACCTGCAGCAGTATACAGATATAATACAGGTATCAGCCCTTCACACTGCTAACCACTAAAACCTCGCCTCACTAATTCACAAGCAGAGGGTGAACACAATAAATAACAAGCCTGACATTTTATTTCTTGTACACCTGAGTGTCTCACGTGGAATGCAAGAAATGCAAGTCCGTTTGTAGAGAGCGACCTATCTTGTATTTTAGAGGTGTTAAACAATTGCACACCACTGCCTTCTGTTGCCGCTAGGAGGAATTAAGTACTTCTGAGAATGAGGCCATTCTTGTGTACAGTGCAACTTCACGTAAAGCTTTGTTCAAGAGAACATCCATTTCATTCAGTAATTCCTGGAAACAAAACGGGTTTAAATTTTTATCAAAGCTATCCAGCAACTTCACTAATAAGAAATTAGAATTTAAAACAAAGCTCACAGCCTGTTCAGCAAAAACAATGTTTGGTCCCTGTTAACTCTTGTGTTGGCACTAACATTCACATTTTTAGAGCTGAACTGAAATAGAAGAGAATCATTTCCATCAAAAGCAAACAATTTCTTTCTGCTACGTGACAGAAGCATTAAGAAATGAAAGGAATACCACTCACCCTGCCTACCCTTACCAGTTATGGCACTAGACAGCCCTACCTGGTGCCAACAGCTATTGGTTATACAGACGTGAAAAGATGTGATTAATCTTTGTGCTCCATTCCAGGCAATGCAGCCAAGGCACGTACCAACATTCTCTTAATGCATATTGTTTTGTAACATAATGCCATAGAATAAAGCAAACAAAAGACATAAAAGGAAAGGTTATGTCATTCATTCACAGAGCTGTAGAAATTCACCCAAAAATCCCTAATGTAAAATTTTCTTGGAAAGCTCATTTAAATTAATTTCAACTCAGCCAGTGCCAGCCTTCAGTTTTTTAGGGAGTAGCAAGGAGTTCTCTCTGAACCACACGCTGCAGTAGCACTAGAGAAAACCTCTGCTTGTTGGATGTCTCTGAGGATGCCACCTGAAGTAGTAAGGAGGCAAACGGTGATACCACAATGTTACCTCAACAAAGGCGTAGGGTCACAAAATAATCAGTGCCAGGAGGGACCTCTGGAGGTCTGTGGTTCACCTCCCTGCCCAGAAGGCCAACTTACAGCACTGCTCTAAGATGGGTTTGAGTACCTGCAGGCACAGAGGCTCTGTAAGCTCTCTGATCAACCTGGTAAGTAAGGATTCAACCCTCTGCACTGAGCATTCATGAATAAAGTACAAAAATAAAGCACTGATGAATACACACTTAAAATCCAATCTTCTACTTTAAATTGTCTGTACTACATCAAATCTGAAACCACTAAACAACACCCTGTGCATCACACTGGTAATCTGTTCTCAGCTTTTAGAGCAATTCCATCCTATCCAGAATAATGCTGCTGCTTAATTCCTAGGATAAAAGAAGTGTTGTTTGTATGTTTTGCACAAGACAACTAAAGATCAATCTAAAACGTGAGCAGCAGATCTGAGTCCTACTGAGCCCACAGACTGTGAGTTGTAGGACACTGCTGCACACCTAGTGCTCTCATTACCCTGTAGGAGCAGTATAATCTTTAATCCCCCCATACCTCTTGTGAAATGAAGACTTACTGCAATCTGTTTAAGAGAGAAATCAATACAAAGAAATTTGTTTCTTACACAAGCTCTTAGAAGGAAATGGTCAGGGTTTGGAACCCAACGCCCCAAACCCAACCTGTTGCTCCAGCCACTGAATCCATCACCTCTTTTAAATCAAATCTGGTTTTGTTCTGATAAAGAAAGGATAAAAGAACAGAACAATCATCTCATATTTAGTGGAAATTGGCCCCCTAATATCTTCATGTTGTCAAAGGACTCCAGGAACTCCAAGCAATTTTACCACTCCACTGTTCCTCTGGAAAATCCCAGCCTAGAGCTATTTGTAAATTTTGGATTCAATTTCAGCTCTCCAACTGTTCAAAATCTGGCATTCATTTTCTAACAAGAAAAGTAAGAGAGCACAGAAAGGGCAAGGGGACGTCAGAACATTCATTACACGCGGACGGTAAAGTTTCTCCTTTGAGTTAGCAGCCAGACCATGTGGAAAATCTTTGATGCAGCACCATCAGAGACGCCTGGAGCTCTTCACACAAACAGTGTGGGCTGAGGGGCCAAGCCTGGATTCATTTCCTGGAATGGGTTACTGAAATAGATATATCCT